AAACTATAAAATGCCAGTAAAATGACAAACTAGGGAGAGAAAAGCCTGCAAAACAGATAGAATTTAAATTCACAACATAATTAAATGCATGGTTAATTTAATACGAGGTATGATTCTTTAATTGTGGTAAAATATACATAACATAAAACTTACCCTTTGAGCCATTTTTTTTTGGGGGGGTGGGGGAAGATCTGCCCTGAGCTAACATCCGCTGCCAGTCATCCTCCATTCTGTATGTGGGTCACCGTCACAGCACGGTGGACGAATGGTGCAGGTTCGTGCCTGGGATCTGAACCTGTAAACCCCAGGCTGCCGAAGCAGAGCGCGTGAACTTAACCACTACGCCACCGGGCTGGACCTTTTAGCCATTAAGTGCCACTGAGTGCATTCACAATGCTGTGCAACCATCACCACCATGCATCTCCAGAACTATGTCACCTCCTCGGATAGCTCTGTCTCATGAAACAACACGTTTTGCTGAAACAAAGTAGCCGCCTCGTGTCTACAGACCCTCATCAGGCGGGTTTGGGAAGTGGGGAAGCCTGCACAGCACTGCCGGGGGGTCTGGGGTACTCACTGGCCCACTGTGCTTCTCTAGTCAAGCCCCACCAGGATGGCTTCCTCTACGTCATGTGGCTTTTCCTCGATGACGACCCCATTCATGCCCTGAATCGGCCTGTTTCTTGGTGACAACTGATGTGGTTGGTATACACGTGTGACTCTTGCCACAGTGTCTCTACTTAGTTAATGACTTAAGAAACTGAGGGCTCCTTTGATGAAAATGGATTTCACTTGCAAATGTCCCCTGTAAGAGAGGTTTTCCTCTGTATCAGCAGATGAAGGGTGACTGGCCATCTTCGCATGAGCACACGCAACCCCAAATCATGCCTGCCTATCTAGTTCCAAACACAATGCACACAGGAATCCTGTGGTTAGAAAGCAGTCAGCAAGATGACTCAGAACAGCTACCATGGAAATAAAAAGACAAAACTCAACAATATGCGGAGAGAGCTTGTGGTTTCCGGGAATACAGTGGGGGTCTGTAGTGTGACTCGATTTGTGTTTCTGGCTGTGGGTGGGGGTGGAAGGGGCAGGGAGGAACAGAGGCGGGGCTGTCCCCAGAGGAGCGGTGCGGCTCTGCTGGGGCAGGCGGGCAGGAGGAGAGGGGTAGAAAGGAGCCTTGTGAGGTCATCCAGATCTGGTGCTGTCACACACAGGGGAGCCCAAGGAGGAGGGGCCCGGGTCTGGGCGGACTGTGGTGTGGGCCTGGAACTGGGCACAGGGTACTGGGAGATGCTGAGTTGAGGTGTGTGGTGGGCAGAATAACGCCCACCTCCCCAGGTGCCCACGTCCTAATCCCCAAAACCCATGAATATGCTCCCTTGCATGGCAAAAGAGCTGCCCCTAGGTGGCTCACCACATGGGTCTGGGGGGCCTCAGAGAAAGACGTGGGGGCACCAGGGACCTGGGATGGGTGAAACCAAGGGCCTGTGCTCCCTTGGGGGTTCAGAGTGAGCGTGGTGGACGGGTGCTAGGAGTGGGTGTGAAGGAGGCTGAAGTGGAGTGGCCAGAGAGGAAGGAGGAAAACCAGAAGAAAATTTCACGGGAGAATGGTGAAGAGAAGCGTCCGACTCCCTCGAGGTTGAGCAAGACAGAACAAAGCGTCCAACAGATTGGGCAACCTGTGACTTGTGCAAGTGCAGTTCAGGGGAGTGGCCTGGGACGCCGGGGAGGATGATGGCGCGGATGAGGAGGGAGCAAGCGGGGAGGGAAGAGGATGGACGAGGGTCCCTGCCCCCACGGGAAGAGCCCAGAGGGGGCTGAAGCTGGGCACTGTGCAGGGGCCAGAGGCCGAGGGAGCCGACCCTCTGTTGCAGGAAACGCTTGATCAAACTCCCCTTCATTGGCCTGAAATCCCCCACAAAGCACACATTTGGACCTTTCTTTCCCTCTCTTTCTCAGGGGAAAAAAGATTAAGAGCAGAATATGGCTCTCAACTTCAGCTTTCAAGCAAACCACGGGAATTGTGTGCACCTTCATCAGAAATATAAATTTCACATGACTGCAAAAAAATATAGAGGAACGTGGATGGTTTTTTTTGTAAAGTTGCCATGAGAAATCCTTGTCCAAAAATTGTAGCAGCTCCCTGCCTAGGGTGGGTGTAACGGACTCCATCCCAAAGGTCACACTTGCTTAGATGTCAATCCGATCTGTCCCAGGAGAGGTTATAAAAAGATCCAGAACACCTTCTGCCTTGAAGCAGGGTTCAGATGTGAGGGAGAAAGCGACATCTCAGGCCTAGAGGCCAAATGCCAGGCTCCAGCGCAGGGAGACCCCGAAGAACAGAACAGCCTTTCGACAGACCCCCAGGCTCTGGGTGACATGTCACTGCCCATTTTTAAGGTCCCTGAGAGGCAGGTCGCACAGATTTGGGGAAGCACTTTTTATCTGATGGCCCCCTTTTAGGGTCATGGAGCCACCAAGGGGCGGAGCCAGGATTAGAACCCAGGTGAGACTGGAAAGCCCACACGCTCCACGGCTCCTTGGACACGCTCCCCACTGAACAGCCCACGCTACACCTATCACTGTATCTGGTGGGCAATGAGGACAGACACGACAGAAAACGTAGGCAACACAGAAAGTATAAACAACTCTATCATGCAGAAAATCATCGCTCTCAGGCACTTGCTGTCTTTTCCCACTTTGAGCGCCCATGGAAAGCGTTCTCCTTCCACTGCGTGCATACTTTTATTATGCTTTCTCTTTCTGTTTTACAATGTCGGGCCAATTCTGTGCTTCCTGAGGGCAGGCTGCTCGTCCTGCTCAGCCGAGCCCCGGTGCTGGCACAGGGCCAGCGATGGTGGCCGGGGCCTGGATGAATCCACGGAGGCTTCTCTCTGGCTCTGAGCCCCCGTCTCCAGGGGGCAGTGTCTGGTGCAAGTTCACCCCACGTCACCCTGCTCTACAGCTTTCCCCCAGCACACACTCCGAGCGCCGGCCAGAGAGGACTTGCTCACCCAGCACCTCCTCTTCTGCCTCGTGCTGGGTACGATCAGGTCACACAGCAGACGGGGCAAGGTGGCTCCTCCTCCCTCACCGCACGGTCTCTGCGGGGCCACAGGAGTTAGCCAGCGGCAGAGCTGGGGACCAAGCCCTTCGTGATGCTTGGGGATCCCCTGTCGTCAAACCCTCTATCAGAACCCCCAGTGTGACGGAGAGTCTGGGTTCCTTCCAGGTGAGAAGGACGTGGGGCGGCTGTCAGGATGTTCGGCACGTCCACGTTTCAGTAGTTTATGCCCTAGACCAGGAGGGAGTGGCAGAACCTCTGAAACCTGCCTCTGTTCAAGAAACATGCACCTTTTCCAGAAAACCTACTTCCCAAAGCTACCTATTAGCCCAGCCACTCTCATTTATCGATGGGGATGATGTCTGTCGTGCACAGAACCAGCCCTGACCTGAGGCTTGAAGAGGCAGGCGCCACTGCAGGCGGGGAAAGCAGATTGTTTAACACAAGGTCACACACCCGTGAGGGACCGACACCGCTCAGCTGCCTGGCAGCACCCCACACTTGTGATGAACTGGCCAACACTTGGGCTCCCGGCCAGGCTTGCAGGGTCAACAGGGCAGGGCCACTTCTGTCTTGTTTACTGCTATGGTCCCAGCTCCTGGCACAGTGCCCAGTGTCAGTAAGCATGTGCTGAAGGTGTGTGTGGGGTGCTCAGAGGTCGGGCACACAGCTTTCTGGGGACAGTGCTGCTAGGATCTCAGCAACCCAAGGGCAAGGCAGCACGGCATGACATCACATGCGGCTTTCCCAAGGTCACAGTTGGAGGACTGGGACAAGGGACGGCCACTTGGCTCTCGGAGGCCTCTTGGAGGTACGCAGGGCCCAGAGTGGGCGGAAGCTGCCCTCTGGGCAACCAAAGCTTGCTGAGGGTGACCACTCCCCTCCTCAGTGCTCTGCGGAGCTGTCATGAGATCCAGCCACCATGTTCACAGGCTGAGCCCAGGAAAAGCTGCCAGGGATCCTGAAATCGGCTGCGAGGGGACTTCTGAGACTATGTGAAATCAGATAATCTATAGGAATGGAAAGTTCTTTGTAATATGTGGGATTCCACTGTAAAGGCACTTGCTTTAACAGGATTACCTTAGAAGCAGGAAGAAAGATTACTTTTTAAAATTACAGCATCCAGCTCCCTTGCCAGTTCTGTTATCAGAAAGATAGTGATTTTAACACAAAATAGTGACCAACGGTGGCATCACAGGAATCAGGACACTTCTAAGCACTCACACGTGTAGAGTGGTGACTGCGCCCCAGTCACGTCTGAGGGCCTCAGCGTGTCCTCACACACCTGACTGCCCTACTCTGCGGCCTCCGAGGAGCCTCCACCCAGCCAAGGGCCACGAGCTGGAGCACGGGTGCCCCGGTCAGGGTGCCTCTCACCCCCGCCCCGCCTGCCCCGGTTCAGTCTACACTGGAGGCCTCAGAGCCTGGGGCCAACTGCGGGGGCAGCAGAACGACCTGCTGGTGACAAGCGTGGGCTCTGGAGGACGGTGCTGGTTCCAACCCCAGCTCTCCCGTCACTACGGACCTTCCTCCAGCTCCTGACTCTGTGCTCACCTCCGCACCTGTAGAACAAGCACGGCGACAACCGTAATTCGTACAGATTCCTTCTATGTGCTGGACGTGGTTCTAAACTTCCTCCTGTGGGAACAGTTTAATGGGGACAAGAGAATCTCCCCTGCAGGGCGATCATGAGGGGTCCAGGGATGCGTCTGTACAGTGCCCACAGCCCCACCTGGCAGAGTAAGCACTGGGTAAACGCTGCTTGGACTCACAAGGCAGGCAGCCTGCGGCGCTGCGGGCGCCGGCCTCTCACCCTGGCTCACCGTTAGGTCTTCACAACACCACCCGTGGAAGGCACTCAGTCAGTCCAGTGGAGGAAGCCAAGTCCACAGGCGCAGACGCCCTGGCTCCCTGGAGAAGAGCCGCTGGGTCGTCAGGAGGCTCCCGAGGCAGGCCCGTCTGAGTCCCATGACATTAGGGACACAGAGCTGCCAGCACTCTCCTGGTCCCGGAGGGCCCGGGCCTGCTGCTCCTCCTGGATGTAGTCGGCCACCAGGTTCAGCCGGCAGGCCCGGAGCGCCCCCACCAGGTGGGACACGGCCGCGTCGCCCCGGTTGGTGTTCTTCCAGACTCGCAGCGACTCCCTCACCTGTTCCGTCAGGTTCCGGGGATACCTCTCCTCGATGGCATCAATCTTGGCGTCTGACACTTTCAGCTGACGAGCCAGTCTCTTCCAGTCCTTCCCCACGTTATCACATATGAGGTCGAAGGCTGCCTGCAGGTCTGCGGAGGGACAGAACAAACGGCTTACCCGAGGTTTGGGAGTCCTGCAGGAGACCCGTAACCCCACGCTCTGACGGGTTTCTGGGGGCTGTCCCAAGTGCTGGGACACCAGAGGTCCTCTTGCAGAGGCTGAAGTCACCCAGCAGCAGAGGGGCCGGGGAATGTTACAGGAAGCCCAAGAGTGGCCTCCAATCCTGTCCAAGCCAACCCCACCCAAAAACACTACCCAAGAGGTGGGGCCTGCTGAAGCCTTGATGGCCAGGGTGGGCTGTCGTCAGGCTCCCTGCTTAGGACAGGCGGAACTGGGGAAGGGGCTGGGAAGGTCAGAAGGCAGGAAATGGGGCTGCTCTCCCATGCCACCCCGTAGCGGGCTACATGGTGACCCCTAAAAAGATGTGTCCTCATCAAATCCCTGGAACCGTGAATGTTAACTCATTTGGAAAAGGGTCTCTGCAGATGTGATTAAGCTGAGGATCTCAAGACGAGGAGATCATCCTGCATTATCCAGATGGGCCCTAAATCCAGTGACAAGTGTCTTTATAAGACATACACAGAGGCAGAGATTGGAGCCATGTGGCCACAAGCCAAGGAACGCCTGGAGCCCTGGAAGAGGCAGGAAGGTCCCTCCCCTACAGCCTCCGGAAGGCGTATGGCCCTCATGACACCTTCATTTCAGATTTCTGGCGCCAGAACTGTAAGAGGACCAATTTCTGTGGCTTTAAGCCACCAAGTTTGTGGTCATTTGTATGGCGGCCCTAGGAAACTAATACACACCCCAGTTCTTATCTTGGAAGCTGCTGTGACCAATCACCAGTCTTTTGGTCCCCGGCTACCACGTCCTCATCTGCTGAAAAGCCACTACTGAGACCAGCAAACTGGGCACTACAGACCATTACAGGCTGTTTCTGAAATGGAAGGAGAGGAGAGGGAAGGACAAGACGCTGGAGAGTGGCTCCTGCAAGTTTGCATCTCCAGGTACAGGCCCCGGAGACGCTGTCAGCCTGTGTGCCAACTCCTCCAGCTCTGACAGCCCCGTGTTACTTTGACCATTTGTACAGATGACGAAACCGAAAGGGAAGTGACTTTTCTGCTGTCACACAGCTAGACAATGGCAGAGCTAGGATGTGAAACCCTGACAGTCTCCTGCCAAGTCCACTCTTAACCATCATGCAAAAACCACCTTCTGTAAAAGACTAAGACAGACTGCCCCTTATCACCTCAGCCACACCTGCTGCTGGCCTTCTGGTGTACTTTCCTCCAACACAGTAACTACATGAACGAAAACAAATACAGACATACACATATAAATCGAAAACGTTATCACCTATACCTTGTGGACTGCCTTTTAAATGTATTATATTGGCATTCTCCCCGCCATTGAGTAGCCTTGAAAACATAATTATTCTAAGTCCCATTTTGTTAGTCTGGCGCTGTGTGTGTACGTGTACGTATACGATCTGAATCCGACTGCTCTCAGGCAGAGCTGTGCTGCTCAGTTCACCACCAATAAGCACCAGTCCCTATGGAGTGATACCCATGCTATCCTTTTTCGGTTCAGTGACTGAATGACAAATTCCAGGCCACAGCTCCAGGCCTGTGAGGGGTGGCCCCAAAGCACTCCCCAACCCTCCTCCCTCAGACTCTGAGAACAGAGGGGTATGGCTGAGGAAGCCTGCTGTACTCAGGTCTCATTTTTACTCCCGGAATCCTCTGCAAGCCACAGGGCAGGATGGGGAGAGGAGGTGCCTTCGAGCAGGGTAGGAAGCTACTACAGAATGGACTCCATCAGAGAGGCAGGGTAGTGGCTAATACCACCCACCCGGGGGCCAGACTGCCTCCGTTCAGCCCTAACTGGTTAGTTATGGGCTGTGCATCCTGGGCAAGTCACTTAACCTCTCAGCCACAGTCCCCTCACTCGTAAAACAAGAACAATGGCAGGTAATGGTATCTAACTAATGGGTTATTGTGAAAATTAAATATGTGAAGTGGCTGGAACAGTAACTGGCATACTGTAAGCCCCTGTCAGAGTTATCATCATTCTCAGACAGCGGTGATGGGCACCAGCTGGGCACACTCCCAGAGGCAGAAGGGAAGTGAAGGCTGCAGCACAGGGTCACTCAACTTCTGCCCCACCCTCTCTACCAACTCCTCCCCACCCAGAGTAATTTCTCACCTACCTGGAGGGAGTGGGGTGGTGGAGAAAATACTGAGGTTGGAGGGTGGGTGGCCCTGCTCTGCAACCTAGTTAATCTAGCTAACATTTCTGAGTTTTGGTTCTCCCATCTGCAAAGGGGGCAAGTCACCCTCACCCAGAGCTGTTTAGAGAAAACTCACGCCAACCAAACCCGGTAAAGGTTAGGTGCCAGCAGACTTGCAACAGGTACTGTGGGGCAAACTGGCCCTGCCTCTCCCAGCCCTTGTCCCCATTCCCTGCCCCAAGCCCCAGTCCCCGTTCCCAGCCTCCCGCCCGCCCCCCAGTCCCCTTCCCCAGTCCCTGTACCCTGCCCCCATCCCTAGTCCCTGTCC